TTTTGAATACTTCACATGAACTGTTTTGTTGTTTGATCTATATCACTATATGGAATGGAGGATGAAGAGCATGCTGCTCAGAGTTTTGTTATATCTTCTTAATTCCTACTACTTTTCATTGTTTTCTAATGTTTGGTCGTCTCGCTTCGATCTGCGTTTATTTACATTTGCACCCAGCGAAATTTTACATATCTTGCTATCACACAAAATCCCTTCCTGAGAACAGTTTCAATCTATTTTTGTTATTTGTTCCTTTAAAACTTTACTCTGAGAGCTATAGCTTGCCAAAGCCAACTTCATAAATTCAAAGTGTAGCTTCTACTTTTTATACCCACCACCGAAGGATGGGGGTATATTTATTTTGACGTAGCATTTGAAACACCCAAAATGAAGCTTCCGACTCTCTATAAAGAATATACAAGAAGGATAATCTGAATTTACCTAACCCTTTCTGCCCGCCTGATGTCCGTCCACGTAAATATATGTTCAAACAACTATTTAGCAATTAACTATTTAGATATTTTGGTGAATTTTCGTACAGTGACGTCTTTTGAACCAAGGACGAAAGCTATTGAAAATGGTTCGGGTCGGTCCACTTATTTGACCACTTCCGACACAACGTCCTATTCTAAAAAGTCGTTATAGTATTATTTCGGCGTTCTAAACTGGCCACCAGCTCGAACCCGCTAGGCAAATTTTTGAACCACTTCTCATATAACGAAAACTGAAGTTTACTCAAGAAAAAGGTATAATTTTTAATGCTTTTTGATGAAAACTATATCATAATAGTAATTGAAAATAAAGAATTAACTATACCAAATTTGGATCTTTACTGTTTTCTGAAACCTACGCTAATAAGGATTTTCAGGAAAATTGATCCTTTGTAGAGCAGAAAAGTCTACATTTTAGTGATGGTGATGAAAGTTGACCTATAAAAGTAATTTCATGCAATAATTTTAACTCTACAAAATTTGCACCATTTATGCCCATTTTTGGATTTTGCCTTATGTAAGAACTTAAAATATGGAGTTATATATAAGATATAATTTTCGTGGTCTATAATAAAAAGAAGAATTGTGTTAGATAATGTGGTATAGTGTATTTAATATTCGGCCTTGCCCGACTGTAATATTCTTACTTACTACATATACTATATATACGATGCGTAAATATGTGCATCCCCGGCAAACAGTTGAAATAAACATTTGTCTGCTTTTGTGAATAAGTGAATAAAGCCCTTCTCTTTAATATATATTTTGTGCTCGCAATTATGAAAAATGTTCTTAAAGTCGTGCGGATTACGATTGGAGCGAAAAGTTCATCATCGTCATTGCTATAATATTTTCGTACAAAAGATATTTTGCCTCATTCTTCTCCATCTTGTTGATATCTTACTAGCAGGAAATCTTGTCATGAACTATTTACGGCGACAAGACATTTAATCACTCGCTTATGAATAAGAAAGACCGGAGATTGACGCTACGAAAAACTTCGAAAGGGTAGTATCTGAATAGTATTTGATAAATATCTGAGTGGTATTTGATAAAGTGAAAAAAAAGAAAAATCGGGAAGGAGCCTATCGTACATAACGACATGACCTCAAAAATCCATAAGGAAATAACGTGTCTTTTCGAATAATGGTTTGAGGGAAGCGAATAGAATTTTTGACAAGTAAATTGAACAGTCTTAAATAGTCTTAAACAGTTCTAAAGAGTTGTAAACACTTTGTTAAAATAGCGAAATTCCGGATCGAAAGTATATAAAATGTGAAAAAACTCGGTATTTTCAAAAGTGTAATATTAACTGGTTAAAAACATGATGCTTTATTGTGCATTTTCTCTTTCAATTGCTTTAATTAAAGTTTCTGCGACGGATATTTGCATATTTTTTAGTTAATGTTGCGGTGTTTCTACTATTTCCTATTTGGAAAAATTATTTTTACATATGTTGCGGAGAAATACCCAACAGCTTCTCCAGTCGTCTTTACCTTCGATTTTTATATTCCTCATCTGAATAAAAATCCTAATATCTTTAGAGGTTATAATTCAATTTTCTTTTATTGATTAAGTTTTGACACCAACTAAAGCACGTAATTTGAAAGAAAAGAAGAGAAAGGGGTTTATTTACCCACAAAGAACCTAGGCTAGCAGCTAAGAATGAATATTTAAATGCCTATATTTAACTTAAATTATCAATCGTTCGGACAGAACGGACTGTCTTCAAAGATCACAGACCTTATTAGAAGGCTGCCTTTGTAAAGTCCAACGTGTTGTGAGGTCAGAGCTTTTGCGCCATGCCGCAATAGACGTGGACTTATCCCGGCTGGTGCCGACGTCCGTTCCGCGCAAAAGATCATATTAACGAGACTGCGGTCCTTAGAACTCTGTATTCCTTGGAAACGTCTGATCCACAGGTCTCGTCTTCCACAGGCATTCCGAAAAATGGATCTCCTGCATGAGGCGACTGGTTTTCTTAGGACTACCGTTGTAATCACTGCTTGGCTTCTTCTTTCTGATGACAGCTTTCTAGGTAGACTTCGTTTACGTTCGAACAGAGTGCGCTTCTAGCTCAATATCCCCCGCGCAGTTGTGGAAATACGGAAATGCGTTCGTGTTTTCGGAAACTATAAAACAAAACAATTCCCAGTTTGTGAGACCTCTGTGGAGATATGCCACCGCGTGATAGAGGAACACATGAGCGAGTATAAGATCTAACACCTCTTTCCTAAATACGTTCCTAATGTGGGTTCGTGGGGAGAAGGTTGTATTATATCGAATAAGCAAGACCGCTATAGACAGCCTACGTTGGGAATTGTAAGCCAATTTACCTTTCTGGTTTCCTTTGCCTGGCGAAAAATTAAATCCTGGGAGCAAAAGCAATTTTGATTCAAGCACTTGTCAAAAATATTTTCTCACCTAATATCTAAGCCCATGATAGTTGCAGCTCTTATTAACCTACACCTAGGCGTACATACAGCACAAATGTTTATTAATGTACGAGCGAGTACGTTTCTAACGCGTTATAGCAGAAAACTCAAAATTATCTGAATTCGAAATAAAACAAGTAAGACCATTATAGTCGAGAAAAGCTGACTTTTAGATACCCTAAACCACTTCGCCTAATACAGTCATTTCATCGTTTTAATAATAATACATCAAAAGTTACACATTATTTTCATGTAAAAGTATACTTTTCATGAAAGCCCGAATATTGGAAGAATACTTATAGGCGGTGATCACAAAAAAGGAATACATGGGCCAAATTTCTATGTCAATTTACTATTATGAACTAGTTTTCAACATGAAATATTAGAAATTACACTTTCTACTGTATAAGGATTTAGTTTTCGTAGGAGCGGTTATATGAGAGAGCGAGTACAAAACACCGCCCAAGCCGAACCATATCAATTTAGAATATCCTAATACTGTTTTCAAGAAATTTTAAAAATTACAATTTTTTTTCCATATAATGACTTTTTAAAATATGTGTGCGCGTTATGTCCCAAGTGGTCGAAAAAGTAGACCGATCCGAACCATTTTCAATAGCGTTCGTCCTTGGGTCAAAACACGTCATCAAAATATCTCAAAAATTGCTACCGTTGTTTGAACATAAATTTAGATGGACAGACATCATATCGACAGAAATGCTTAGACTAAATGCGATTATAATTCTGAATCGATCGGTATAGTAAGAGATGGGCCCTTCTGGGTTTACATACGACCGCTCTAACTTAATATACCATGTGGCGCAAGTGGTGTAAGGTATAAATACATGAAAATAGAGGGTAACTGAAATTCATTTTGTAACTATCCTTTTGCCCAAATTATTTATTGAAAATTTTTGAAGCTTTCAGGGCATATATCTTTTAGAACATTTAGCTCAAAAACGATTAAAATTAAAATAAAAATTTTTTTTAAATTTTTTTGTGAAAAATTATTCAAAATGTCCGAAAATATCAATTGTACTGAACCAGAAAATAAAACAAAACGTAATTTAAATTTGGATATCTTAACATTCATGCAATTAGACGTTATGGCGACATGGCTGACGAACGAAACCAATGAACTTTATAGAGAATTTCTGAATAAAGCTCAGTTTGTTCGCGAGCAGGACGTAGCAATTTCGGTGAATGAAACAGAGGTAAGAGAAAAAGAAAACTCGCTCCAATAATGATTTTCATGTGAACCTTACTTCTTTTTTTTTATTACTTTTAGCTGCAAAAATTATTAGAAAATATAAAAAGATTGGAAACAATTAGCGCGGAAGTAACATTTGAAATTAAACAGTGGGATCGTCTGTTAGACAAATCATGTGAAACTGTTAGTAATGTATAACCACATTTCAAAAATGTTTGCTTATAAAATAGTCCTTAGAACAAATCATTTTTCGACCCCATTTAAATGTAAATGCGTTTTAACAGAAAATCATATATCGTTTACAGAGAACCACGCACTGTTTACAGAAAACTGTGCAAACCCATGCATTTTCACGAGACACTCTAGATTTTTACAAGAAAGCTGTGAACAGATGCATAAATTTCTTCTTCTTTTTCTTCATGACCCAGGTTCATTATATTAGCAGGCAGACCGGCGGGGAAGAACCACTAAGCAATTTAAAGCAAATGTTTAAAGATTATCGACTAGGTAAAGGTGAACGCGACAAGTGGTTGGAGATGTTACTAAGTACCGAGTTTGCAGTGTCGAATTTAAAAGATTTGTCAGATGATGTGCGCGAATTACAAAAATGTGTCGAGCTATCATCAAGTCCTTATAAAATTGTAAGTAAGATTTGTAATGTATGTAATATGAATAATAGCGTGTTAAACGATTTCACCTTATGCTGTAGATTTTTCAAATTTTGGACTATCAACGCGAAATTCTATGCAATACCGAGAAAAATCTGGATTTAATGCTCGACAAAATTGAGTACGTCACCCAGTTACACTCACGTCTTCTGTAAGATTTGTCCAAATTATATAAGTAAAAAAAAAGAATATTGAGAAATGTTCTTTTTTTTTCTTTTATTTCAGTAACGCTATAGTAAAAGATGAAAAGCCTTACCTAGCAGTCAATGAGTTTATGTAGCTTATTACATACGTTTATTTACAAAAAAATGCTTTTGTTGTACTTTTAGCTTATGATTTGCAAAAAATAAAAAATCTTGCTACGTCTCGCGAAAGAAAATTATGTCATCGGCCACAATACTGCAACTAGGCTTTTGATTGCCTTCCTGATCTTTTATTTCGCCGTAAGTTATTTTACCCTGAATCATGGTACGTTGTCCTTTCTTTAAGTACTCCATAACTAGTTCACGTAAATTTGGGCGAAAAACTATTATACGATGCCAATCGGTACGTTGCGCCCAGTCACCAGATTCATATCTTAATGCCGTTAAATAAAATTCATATTAAAATTGTGCACAAAATCTGAACAAAGCACATCACTCACTTATAATTTGTATGAGTTGCTACGGAAAATACAACAACGGGATGATCCGTAGTGCCTTTTAATTGGGGATCAGCTCCTACTCGTCCCAATAAAGTGACAGTATTAACAGCTGAAATCCCATAACATTATTTCCAACAAGTGAACTTATTGTTAGCCAAACCCAAGCTTACTTACATTTCTCGACACGAGTTGGGGCCGGAAATTCTTTATACTCTTTAGGTTCACTTTGTACGAAACGCAATGGTGTTGCAAACTTTGGTCGAACCTAGTATTTTATAAAGTTTATTATTTTGTGATAACGCAATTTATTATTAGAACTCTTACCACGGCTCTCACTTTAGTTAACAAGGAAAACATTTGGAATTTCTTTTACTGAGAATTTTAACAGGAGGAACTTTTTCTAAAAAGGTGTATATGAAAATAAAAGTTTTAATGCACGCGTAAATACCAGATGATTTGGATTGTGTATGCTTCTTCTTATTTAGTTAATAATGCAACTGCAATAAAAACATGATATTAACGACAACGTTGGACGCTGAAACGAGTCGTTTGCAGTGGTGCTGTAAAAGAGGAACTAATTGAGGACTCTTGCCGACGGCTTTGCAAATTAGTGTAGAGTATTACGTTTGTTCTGCTAATTAGCATAGAGTATTACGTTCGTTCGGCGCAGGAATAATTGTTTACAAAGGAAAACGAGAAGCTTCCTCCTCAGAATATCTAAAACAATCTTATATTATCTTATATTTATATATATATATATAAAAGTTTTTCAATCGAAATTAAAGAAATTATCTTTAACAGCACCGTCTGGTGCTGCATTTCCAAAGTTACTTGATAGCGAGCGTACAAGTGTAAAACTTTCCTATCGGACACAAGATGGCCATATTGTTATATTCTACGGAGTTACAATAAAATAGTAAGTTATGAAGAATTATTGACAGTATAAGATTTCCGTATTGGTTAATGCATTCGTTTCATTTTTTGCTTCATTCTTGGATTTGTTCCGCCGTTCCTTTAAATGTACCTCAATTTATAAAGAATTTACAAGCATACTCTACCTAGTCAATGCCGACTACACGCAAAATGAAAGGAATTAAGATAATGTTTTGGAAGTTCACAAGAGTAAGCATTCAAACGACGGGTTTGGCGCATACTTTTAAGGGCATAAAAAATACTTCGTAGTATTAAGCGCAGACATGAACCTACGTTGACGAGCTATTAATGCTGAAAAGCGGTAAAATTTCGGCCGAAATCTTATTAAGAAATGCGATGAGTTTCATTAAACATTCATACAATCTTTTAGGATACAATTGAAAACAAACCATTAGGCAAATGGGTTTATTGAATATCTTAACACTACTTTGCCTACTATATAGTCTATTACTATAGTTAAGAATTTGACACAAATTAGAAGTTTTAGATGTATAAAAATAACTCTTAAGCTGCAGTTTTCTAGATCGAATATAAATCCTTTCATTTTAATATCACATTTGTCTAACTCATCAGCCGAACGATGTTTCTGTTCGTGTTGCTAGATATTGAAATGCTTTACCATTGAGTTTTAAATTATGCGATGACACTTCGAATACATTTAGAAGAAAATTGCTGGCAGCAGTTTTCGATTACGCACTTTATAATGTATACCCACTTCTCAATTTCTTCTCGCACAGGAAATGTGTCTAGGTAACTAGGTAATAGGTTCATGCCTTTATAGATGAAATGAAAGAAGTGAAATGAAAAGTTTTATATGCAAGAAGATCCAAAATGTAGGTCACCCAATTAAATACTCATTTTCCTCTTCACTTGTCTTCAGTATTAATAATCAACCATGAGATTTTTTTGTCATATAAATGCACGAACTTGACGGAAACACTTGCGCGTGAATGAAGCGAAGAATAGACCGATATATTGATATGCCAAAATCATTATTTTATGTGGACCTATTTTCATCATGAGATAGTAAAAATTAAACTCTTGCTGCCGTACGAAAATTTAACTTTTTTAAAAACTTTTACATGGGAGTGATTTCAAATAATGTTCCCATTCATGAACCACGGCAAAATACTATTTCCTTAAGTATATCAAATTTCATTAAAATATCTTCAAAAATTTCGTTTTACGTCGAGCACAAAATGGATGAGCAGATGTCGGATAAACTAACAGACTGACAGACGGACAGCAGGCTTAAAGCGACGGACCATTGGCACCATAAAATGTGTTTCTATTGCAAGACGTTTTGGGCATTGCACATGTATTCGCATAAACTTTATACACTTGTACTATTACGAATGTATTGAAAAGTGTCAGCAAGAACAACAATGTGTCCGCGCAACTAAATCTCGAATTTCAGATAAGGAGGTAAAACAATTTTTTACTTTACATCCTCCACATCGACTCAATGAGTTGCTCGTGTCTTCTTTCATACTCAAGGCACGCAAAATGGCAATTTTTTTTTTGTTATTACTTTTTATACCCGCCATGTCTGTCCGTCTGTGTGCCTGTATTTGTCGTTAGAATTGTCCTAGTCGCAAAGATGAAAATACTGACTTCAAATTCGGTAGAAACGCTGGACGTTTTCACACGCAGGTTGAAAATAGGCCAAACTGGTCAGAGCAGACGCCGTCATTGGAGTATAAACTGAAAGCACTTCTTTTTAACAACAATTTCTGCGCCAGATATTGTAAAAGTTAGAAGTCTAAAATATACTTCCACATATACTTTACGAAACGCTCTCCCCTTTACGTTCGAAAATGGAAAACTTAGGCTCTGCCCACGCAAAGATATAAGTGACTCAATTATATTTTGTTCCCTTTTTTGAGGTTTCTTACTTATTTACGATAACGCAAACTAGAGAAAATGCTTAAAACTATTTTGTACATTCCTTAAATAAAGATGTACTATCTGCCTAAAAATGGGTTAAGGGTAGACGCCGCGAATACTTCTCTCTTAATAATATCAACGGTTTGGATATCAAATAAAAGAACTTGGAAAGTAGAATGCGATGGGTAAGCGAGATTCGAGACCCGCCGAATATAACTTTCTTACATATTTGTTTGAAATTGCGCTGAAACTCTGCAATCAAAAAAAAAATCGGTTTTGTTGTATGTTTTTGCAGAAAGTGACCACAGCCGCATGACTACAAAACCCTATTGACAACGATAATTACATCACTTAATAAATTTGTTAATAAGCAAAACTGCCGCATTTGTATAAGCAAGCAACCCTATGCCAAAACGGAACTTGTCATATAAGAATTTAATGAACAATCATAGCTTAAATGGCGCGAAATTTGTTTTTCTTTTTAAAAGAAGAAGATCGTCCTGTAGTAGTTTACGCAAACCGTGTGTTATGCTTGCCACATATCGTTCTATTTATTTATTTATCTTTTCCTATGACCAATTATTCGGGGGATGCAGTATATTCGTGTAAGAGGATACCGGTCAGAAAGAAGAGAGGAAACACATAGACATAGGGAGACGGTGGCTGCCCTACCCACACATGTTATGCCTTTATAGACAAGCTATGACCAAAGAAAACTATGCCGCACTTGAGTGCGGTTGACTTTGCTAGTCGCCGTCCTCACCCATTCCGCTACTCAGGCGGATAATAGGCGAATATCTTTGGGAAGAATTGAACGAATTCAATGAAATGAACCGATAAATGCTGAGCAATCGGCGCCATTGCGAAACATTTTTTATATAAAAAAAGGCAATAATAGGGGCTTACTACCGATATTACAGCTTTCTGACTGAGTATGTTTTCTTATGGCAATTGAAAGTCGTTACTGGTTACTGGTGTTAGAGCGTGTTAACGTGTTATGAAAAAATTGGTTGTTTCCGCCTTCAACGACAAGATCGAGCAGTTAAAATTCAAGCTTAATGGGTGGATCTCTTCAGAAAATATTAGATTTTTTTCTTTGTTTTTTAAATCATGAGATCCCCAATGTGGGTGAAGGAAGAGACCTGGCTGAAAGGTCTCGGAATTTTAGTATGCATAACGGAGGGTACTTTATTTTGATTTTTTCTTTTGTTTTGCTTAGTTTCGAAAAAAAAAAGAAAAAGTTTTCCAGTTTTACACGATATCATTCAATTTCGAATTACATATATGTATAGGAACAAACATTGTAAGGAGTGCTCTACGCATGCTCTCTAGGCTGCTTTGCAAAGTTTTTATGAGATGAGTATTTTATACGGTATCGTTTTTTACACTGTATCTTTTTACACGTTATCCCTTTTTTACACGGTATCCCTTTTTACACGTTATCCCTTTTTTACACGGTAACTTTATTACACGATTCTTTCTAAAACCTCCTATATAAAAAACATAAGAGATTCTAAGCCGGAAATAGCTGTATGGTCAATAAGCTAATGCGGTGCGGCGTACATTTCAACAATCAATGCAATTTATCTTTTCCTCTCTTTCGTACTAATATCATGAATTCTCTAAGGAGCTTTGGCGTTTTGTAAAAATAGCAATTCATCTTCACTAGCGTTGTGATCCCTTTAGATAGTGTTAAGAGCTTTAATTCGCCTTATGACGGTAAGAAAAATTGAAATTTTGAAAAAATGTTTTCAAGTTATATCTTACTCAGCTTGGCACAGACATCCCTTCGTTTAGCCAATGCGCATAGCAATAAAAGGAAAGGAAACGAATAATAAACTTTTCCTAGTCGCTATCTAACATTGCTCTCCTAAGATAAATACTACGAATACGATTTAACTGATTGTATGAAAGTGTAAACATTACCAAAAATATTACACAATGCCCGGTAGTACATGTTTAGAGTGCTCTCTTCTGCCGGCTTTCTTAAACTATCGTAACGTATATATGCGAAATATAAAAACAAAAAAAAAAAGTAATAATAATAATTTGGCTTCCCGTATGCCTCCGAAGAAAATCATAACTGCACAAAAACGACTTTCCGTGGCCTTAAGCTTTTCAAAAAAAAAAACAAAGAAGAAATTGTTAAATTCTTAAGTACGACAACGTAATACACAAGCGTAGCGTTGGGTTTTCTGTCGTTTATTTATTTATTTATTTTTTTTATGATGAACTAAAGAAGAAGAAGAAGAAGATGATGATGATGACGAAATTGTATATATAAGATCCTGTTATATTTTTTGTGCGTTTTGTCGCATAATCGTAGAATTCCTACTTTTATCTTCGTGTTATTTACAAGCTTTCTTACCCTTGAAAATTCTCCCTTGCAATCAATCATCCTTTCGGTTAGATTGGTTACATTCATCAGTTAGTTCTGCTTCGTTGGCTTACATTGTTGTATGCTCGTAAGTAAGTGTCTATATGTGAGTCTGCATACACATATATATATATATATATATATGTGCGTATATATATGTGCGTATAAGTGCCCGTGGTTATATGCGTATATGTGTGTGTTTGCGCGCGTACATACTTTCATCCCAACTTTCTATAAAGTATTTTCTTTTCGTTGCCTAAGCCAAAAACTGAAGCTACGTTA